GCGCACGCCGGCGGGCGTCCTCCGCGCACGCCCGCGGGCGTCCTCCGCGCACGCCCGCGGACGCCCGCGGACGCCCGCGCACGCCCGCGCACGCCCGCGCACGCCCGCGCACGCCCGCGCACGCCCGCGCACGCCCGCGCACGCCCGCGCACGCCCGCGCACGCCCGCGCACGCCCGCGCACGCCCGCGCACGCCCGCGCACGCCCGCGCACGCCCGCGCACGCCCGCGCACGCCCGCGCACGCCCGCGCACGCCCGCGCACGCCCGCGCGCACGCCGCACTGTGCGGCACTGCGTGGCACTGTGTGGCGCTTCGCCGGTCTGAGCAGGGTACCTGGGCGTTTTGAAATTCCGTGCAAGGGGGTGCCGAGGTATGCCGCAGGCCGGGATGGAGTGAGATCTTGTGGGGCAGGGCGTGGGCTAGCGCGCGAGGGCGCAGGCAAGTGCCCGAGGGTATGGGGGTGGGCGCCACCCTGGGGCTACCCGTAGCATCGTCGGCTCAGTGATGGGTATCCCAATAAACTAAAAAGAATATACCGAAATATAAACTAAAAAGGAGCAACGGAGGTTCCGTTGACGCCGCCCCTTGTGTACGCCTTTATGGCCGCCGCCGACGGCGGCCGCGTGCCGCCACTCGCGCTGCTTGCCTACCAGTGCGTCAAGCGGGAGGAGGAAAGCGCTGTCGCGGAATTGAAGAGCGACGCTGCCGCTGCAGCCGAGGCGGCTTCGCGTGCCGTCCACGCTCAGCGATGCAGCAGACTTACGGGCAGCAGTGATGACAGATCGCAATGCCGCAGTCCGTGCTGTGCGCGGCGGGGTGGCGGCAAATGTCGCTCCTGTCATGGATACCATCGCGACAAAACAAGCGTGCGGCTGGTGCGAGTGTGTTGGGCCACTCGAGGACGCTGCCGCCGTGGAGGAACTCAAGGCTGCGGATGAGTTGGAGGTTGATGAGGGTCGACGAGAGATTCTGCGCATGGTGAGAGGCCAAGGTGATGGCAGTGAGATCGCAAGGGCGTTCGAGAGATTATCTCCCGCGTCGGCTGGCACGTGCAAGGCCCTTTTCCGGGACCCAGGGAGGCGCATCTCGCGATCGCTCGTGCCAACCTCTGTGCAGACGCTGCGCGGCAGTCCTCACACGACCGAGCACTTGATCGCATGCGTGTGCGATGCACGCGCCGACCTCTGCCCCGCTTGCCGTCCGGAGCGCCGCCCGTGTGGCCTCTGCGGCGAGCAGTTCTGCTCCTTCTGCTTCGCTGCGCACAAGCCCGTGTGCGACCGCAGATTCATGGACGTATGCGGAGCCGATCTTGAGCGTCGCTGCCTGTCGACGACGGGCCCATCAGGCCTCCGTGGGTGCGCCCAGCGCGCGCGATCGAGCCAGCAGTGCGGCGAGGTGGACGAGTGGCAGTTCGGGGTGGACGGGCGTCTCGAGTCGGAGCGTCGAGACCGCTGCAGTGTTCAGTCCTGCAATGCCTGCTCCGGAGAGTGCCGTGGCATCTGGGCCTGGGACGGGGACGAGCGCGAGGACAGCAAATGCACTGCGCGGCTATGCCCAGCGCACGCCGACGCGGGCTTGTGCCCGCCATGTGAGGCGCGCAAGCGCGCCGGCCGGATCCCGTTTCAGCGCAAAGACACCACCCGCCTCGACGCGACACGCTGGGTCTGCTGGCTTCCAGAGCTACCCGACGGCCAGCGCTACCGTTCTTGGGCAGAGCAAGTTGCGGCGGGCTGTGGGCGTGAGCAGTGCGGCCGCTGTACCGCCAATCGTCTGCAGGCGCTACTGGCCGAGACGGAAGCGGCCGCTGAGGCTGAGGGGCTCGAATATGCCGAGTGCCAGCGACGCGTGCTCGAGGCGGAGCGTCATTTCGATGCGCAGCTGCCGCCGGGTCATCCAAACAAGCGGCGCGTGCAGCGGCCGCGGCACGACTATTATTGAGTGTGCGCCCCGCGTGTCATGCGTCTTTTGCGTGTGTGTTTCGTGACACGCATATGCAGTAGAGTATGCAGAGAGATATGGCCACCTGTGACTACGGGTGTGCTTGCGAGGTACTGCGTCTCATTTTAATAAAACGAAGGTAACAGAAAAAAAGTCAGGCCCGCACCGTCATATTCTGCTAGCATTGGCCATTGCTCTCTGTATACGGGGATATATCACTGCGGGAACACCCCCTATTGCCTATAATCCGACGCCGCCCCGCTTCCCAGCCCCACAGAAGACCGCTCAGCGGCCGCGGCCACTCCCTCCTCCCCGCCCGCCGCCTCGCCCGCCTCCCTTGCGGCCGCCGCCCGCGCCCTTTGTTCCGAGCGGGATGCCGCCGTCCCCTCGCTGCCGCCGCTGCCGCCGCGCGTTGCCTCCCGCGCTGCCGACGCTGCCGTCGCTTGCGTCGGACCCCGCGCTGCGTGGCCGGTCGACGTCGCTCCCCGCCGCCTTTCGCTTTGGCGAGACCGCGCCCGGAGGCGGCATCAGCTGGCGCGCCGCCGCCGCGCGCAGGTTGGGCGACCCCTCCGGAGTCGAGCGTGCGGAGGACTCGCTGGTGACGTCGGTCCGCTCCGAGAAGCCGTGGGGCAGCGCGGCGATCGGCTTGTGGAAGGAGGCCTGACGCAAGAGGGGGGGGGAGGGGGTGGCGGGTGCTTGCTCGTGAAGGAGCGGTGCTGCCGACGGAGGCGCTGTCTGCCGCACGAGCGAGGCCGAGGAGCGGTGATTAATGATATATTATCCAATTAGGCGCTGCCGCACGAGCGAGGCCGAGGAGCGGTGATTAATGATAATTATCCAATTAGGCGCTGTCTGCCGCACGAGCGAGGCCGAGGAGCGCTTGATTGATTAATTCATAGTTCAGTAGTTGCTGTAGCTAATAGTTACCTGCCGCACGAGCGAGGCCGAGGAGCGGTAGTCCTCGGGCGCCTGCAGGTGCACAGTTGACAGTGAGCGGAGTCGCATAGTTGAGGGCTTGAGAGACTTGTCCCCGGGCGCCTCGACGGACCGGCGCTCGAGCTGCGTGCTCAGCGTGAGCCGCTCGCCTAGTGAGGAGGAGTGATGGCTGACCGACTCACGGCTGAAGACTTTGCTGGCGCCTCAGCGCGTCCCGCCGCCCACCAAGCATCGCCGCCGTCGCGGAGCGCGGCGAGGCGACGTCGGCGGCGGAAGCGGCCCCCGCCGGCGCTCCCTGCGCGAAGTTCAGGTGCGCGAGGAGAGGGAGGTGGTCCGAGGGGAAGCGCTCCTGTTCACGGCAGCACGCGTGAAGTGAGGCTCTCTGCACCGGTGCCGCCTTGGGAGGGGGAGTGGCGAGGCGCTCCGAGGGGAGGAAGCGGCCGAGGCGGACGGTGTCCTCGGAGGGGAGCTGCAGCACGCGGGCGGGCGCGAAGTGGGACGAGCAGAGCACGTAGTCGAGCGTGCCGACGAACTGACACGGCGGGCCTGAGGGCGCAACAAGAGGCGGCGAGTCGGCTCTGCTTGGCTCTGCGCGTGCGGGCGAGCCGGCAACGCTGCGGGCCGGTGAAGTTTGTGAAGAGAGGCTCGTCCCCGAGCACGGCGGCGTAGGCGGAGGTGAAGGCGCGGGGCAGCGTGACGGCTCTCTCGCTGCTGCAGGCAGAATCGGAGGGAGGCGGAGGGCCGAGCGACGGGAAAGCGACGTGCTCCGCGACGATGGCCTGTTCACAGCCGTGGGTGTGAAGAGACGCTGTTCACACCTCTCGTCTCTGTGCTCCGCGACGATGGCCTGTTCACAGCCGTGCGCCTGTGAAGAGGCGCCGTCCCCAGGGGCAGGGCGGCGGAATGCGCCGCGACGGCGGCCATGTGCGGGTGCGAGTGCGGCAGCGAGCCGGAGGTGAGTAGGCGGTGCACGCCCGAGCCGGGGATCGAATTTAGGTCGCAGCCTGCCACCACGCCGCAGCCGCCGTGTCTCGCCGCGAGCTCGCACGCCGCGGAGAAGGCGGCGTGCGCCTGATGGATGATATGTTGTACATTTTATGTTTGAACTAGCTCGCACGCCGCGGAGACGGGGGTGCGTGCGCCTGCGCGATCTGCGTCCACGGCTCGGTGAAGGTGCAGCCTAGACTCCGCGAGATGCCCCGAGATGAGCCGAGATGAGCCGAGATCTGCGTCGAAGCGCGGTGCAGGGGCAGCCCAAATGCGTGCACAGAGCGACGAGCGGCAGCCCGCGACGGCGGTGGCGCAACGCCACCACCACCGCCACCTGCGCGCCCCGCCCGAAGTGCTGCCGCGACTGCTCGTCGGCGCACGCGGCGACGAGCACCTGGTTGAAACAGTTGCATCTGCTAGAGCGCCTTGCTCGACCGGCACGTGCTCAGTGCACATGACACATGATGTGACATCACTGCACATGCTAGAGCACACCTTGTTGATTGGCACTGTCACGTGCTCGAGAAGCTCAAACTCGGACCGCCGCCAGTAGACCGCGTTGCCGATCTGCACGGCAGGCCACGCAGACCTGCGGGGAAGGGTCCGAGAAGGCTCTTCTCTGCCCCAAGCCGCTGCCGACCTGCTCTTGCACGGGTGCCCATCCCGCGTCTTGCGCGCGTACTTTCCGTCGTAGCCGCGGCTGCGCAGCGCCGCGTCCACCGCCGCGAAGTGGTTGCGCTCCTACGCGAGATCAGCCGAGATCAGCCGAGATCAGCCGAGATCAGCCGAGAGTGGCGGAGGTTCGTCCAGCCCAGCGGTTGCGCTCCTCCTGCCCCTCCGCCCCGGGAGGCGTGCCCTGCAGCTCTTGCAGGCAGAGGATGGACGGCGCGTGCAGCTCGATCTCTGCGATCTGCAGCTCCAGCCGGTGCGGCCAAGCGAGGTGCCGCTCTTCGGCGTGCGGGAACGCCTCGCAGTACGTCAGCATGTCGGCCAGCAGGTTGAACGTCATCAGGCTCACGTCGGGCGGCGAGGCGCCTGTTCACGGCAGCGGGTGTGAATGAGACGCTCTTCACACCTCCTCACGTCGGGCGGCGAGGCGCCCGCGGGCTGTGGAGGCACGAGTCCCCTCGCCTCGGGCGACGGAGTTAGCCGCTCGAGGAAGAGGCCGTCCGCCGAGAGGGAGACGAGGGGCGACTCGCCCGGCCGGGGCAGCAGCGCGACCAGCTGCTGCGGAGACAAGTTGGCGAGCGGCTCGTGGCGCGCGGCGGCGACCGCCTCGTGGCGCGCGATCCCCGCGAGTGGCTGCAGCTGCGGCATCGCACACAGCTCCTCCACCCGGATCCTACAGGAAGGCTCCAAGACGGCTCCAAGAAGGCTCCCGTGGGCATCGCACACACCTCCTCCCCCCGGAATCCTGGCGCCGCACCCGCCACCCTCGAGTGCGCCCGGCGCAGACGCGGCGCGCACGCGGCGACGGACCTCGGCGTCGAGGGTCAGGCTCGCGTCTCCGAGCAGCTTCGTCACCGCCGCAACCACTGCCGCGCGCGCCGCCGCCGCCACCGCAGGCGGCAGCGCGCGCGCAGGGGAGCGGGCGGGCTGTCGCGAGGCGCGCACACTCGACTTATCGTCGGACACCTGCGCACGGGAGGAGAGGGACTTATCTCGGCGCCGGGAGGAGAGGGACGCTGAGCCGAGACCGTCCCGAGATCGCGAGAGGCGGTGCGGGCGCCTGCAGCCGCGGCGAGTGCGACAGCACGTGTGCCACCGCCGCCAGCTGCGGGTGGCACAGCTTGCGCATCCGCGGGAAGGCGCAGAGCGTAGAGATGGGGACCCAGCCGTCCGGGTCGCTCAGCTGCTCCATCAGGAAGCCGTCTCCCGCCACGTCGCGCCGCGTCAGGTACCACTCGACCTGCTCGAGCAAGAGAGCCTCAGGCGAGATCGTCCGACCGGTCAATGCAGCACTCGCTTCCGCAGCGTCAGGCGCCGCAACACCTGCGTGCAGATCTTCTCGAGCAGCGTCATGCGGCGAAGCAGCCCTCCGATAGGTGCCTTGCCGCCGCCGTCGTGCCTCCCCCCCTCCTCCTCGCCCTGCAGCACCAGCTCCGCCGACGACGAGACGGCCTGACGAGGCCAGAGCAGCTCGTCAACTCTACCGGCTGCAGCTGCACCTCCTCTGCAGGACAACAGGCCGCCTCGCGCACGAGCGCCGCCCGGCGCGCCGCCGGCCCGCGCGCGGCGTCGACGAGCTGCGAGAGCTGCGCGTACGACCGAACCACCTAACCGCGACTCCGCCGTCCGTGAGATCAGATTCAACTCACGAGTGCAACTCACCGGCCGCCGGCTTGAATGGGCACCCACCCACCTAGCACCCACCCACACGCCGGCACACCTGGTCGAGGTGCCCAGACACTTCCTAGACACTTCCTAGACACTTCCCACACGCCGGCACACCTGGTCGAGGGGCGCGTACCCCTCCTCGTCCTGCAGCAGCTGCAGGTGCAGGTCGCGGTGGTAATTGTTGTCCGAAAAGAGGAACCTGCCCACAGCGACGGCGATGTGTGGAGAGTCGCTGCCCGTCGGCGGTGGCTGGAGGAGAAGGGAGGCACTCGAGCTGGTTGCGCAGCTGCACTCGGAGCGGCATCTTGCGGACCGCGGAGCCGTCGCCCGACAGCTCGACCACCATCGAGCCGCGAGCGCGCAGGCAGTCGGCCACGACGCCGACACCCCCGAAGGGCCACACCGCGGGGCCGAGAGGAGAGTAGTGGAGGAGGGAGGCGATGGGAAGGAAGCCGTCCGCCTGGTGCGCCTCGCGCTGCAGAGCCGGCACGCCGCGCTCGAAGCCGGATACCAATAGCTCCTCCACCTGCTGCACCACTCTCGCGACGTCCGCCTCGCCCATCGCAACAGAGGCGCGAGTGACGGAGTGGACGCGGCTCAGCGCGATTGGCTGTGTGGACGACGGGAAGCTCGGCGGAGCAAAGTTGACGTCGACTTGCATACTCAATCGTGAGCAGCGACTAGCGCGAATAGCACAGCTGGAATAGCAGCGCGAATAGCACAGCTGGAATAGCAGCGCGACCTAGCGGACTCGCGACGACCCCAGCCCCGAGCTGCTGACCCTCGCAACGAGTTCCGGCGCCCGACAATCGGGCGCGGCGGAAAGAATTCGCTTTGCGCTACCCCAACTACCACACGAAAGCACTCTCTCACAACGGCGCTTCACTTGAATGGCGTTCGCTTCGGCCGGCCTGCCGCCGCCGGCGCTCAACGCTGCCGCTGCCGAGGGCGCGGCGCGCGGCCGCGACGGCGCGCAAGAGGCCGATGATGGCCAGAGACTCGGCGTGAAGCGCCGCCTCGACGGCGAGCTCGCGAGCGCGCGCGTCAACGACGACGACGCCAAAGAAGGCGACACCATTATGGTGGACGCCGCACAGATGGCCGCTGCGGCGGCCGCCGGCACCGACCGCGGCACGAAGCGCCTGCTGCACGTCGCGCTCGCGGCGCGCGACGGCTCGCACATCCCGGACATCCAGAACACGACGGCGCTCGTCACCGAGATTCGACAGCTTCTGAGGAAGACGCCAGGCTGCGAGGCGCAGCCGGCGAGCGCGATCAGCGTGCCCGTCATCGGCACGTCGCGCGCCATCTGCGTCGCCTTCAGCGGCGAGAGCGAGGCACGCGCCTTCCTCGAGCAGTACGCCGGCGGTGGCGTCCTACAGCTCCCAGCGCCAGACAACATCACCATCACCTTCGCCGCTCTCGACGCCACCGTGTGGGGCAAGCAGGCGGAGGCGCGCGAGACCCAGGCGACCATGGACGCCGACGGCCTCCTCGCCATACGCACGCGCGGCGCCATCAACACCGCGGCACAGATCGAGCACTTCGCCCCCCTCTTTGAGAAGCACTTCGGCAACGTGGTCTCCATCCAGGAGGGATACCACTCCTTCCTCGGCACGAAGTCGGACGAGAAGGACGGCTCGATCCTCTTCAAGGTGAAGAACGAGAACCTCGTCTGCAACCTCCCTGTCCTGCCCAACGTCTACGCGAGCGGCGATGTCGGCGGACCCCTCCGCCTCGACGTCGGGAGTGTGAAGGTGCTCGGGAACAAGCTTTGCCCATCGTGCCGCGCCTTTGCGACGACGAGCGCCGACATCATCCACGACGCGCAGTGCGGCGCGCAGGCGCTCAAGGAGAGGCGCGCCGCAGCGGCGAACGTCGCCAAGAAGAAGACCTTCGAGAGCCTCATCGTCGACAACAAGGTCGAGGTCGCGCGCGCGGCGGGCAAGGCCAAGGCGATGGCGGTGCGCGACGGGATCGGCTTCTGCCCGGCCTTCAACCAGACCGCCATCCCGTGCAAGACCGCCGCTCGCTGCCGCTACGCGCCGTGCGTCAACTTCGAGGCGCTCCTCCACTCCGCCTTCAAGGACACTATCTACGAGCGCATGCCGAGCGCGGTCAGGCTGGGCACAAGCCGCGGGCGGCGCGGGCGCGGCGGCCGCGGCCGCGGCGGCGGCGGCGGCGAGGTCAAGAGCAACAAGAAGGACTGGGCGAGCGTCGCCCGCGGAGCCGTTGGGCCCCCCGGTGCCTTCGAACTGATCATGTTGCGCAGCAGCCATCCCTAGCCAAATCCACGGACCCACACGTGTGTCCCTATCCAGAAGGGCGTCGCAGACGATGCAATGGGGCCACAAGCGGCGACACTCGATGCATCTGACTGCTCGGTGAGGGCGGCCTCCGTTGCAAGTTGTGGTTGGCATACCCATCGTGGCGTGCACGAACATGATTGCAGGCAGAGGGATGCCGCGCTCATGCTGCTCGGCGGTGAGCGACGGTGCAGCGGTCGGGGGACGGGGCCGGACGGCGAGGAGCAGGCAAAGCGGGATGTCAGTTCGTGAGTTCTGTGTCCCCGTCCCTGTGCTGCACCTTCCTCTCCCGCGTGAGTCCCTGAGAACCCCCCACTACATAGCGCCACCTCGTGAGCTGTCCTGTGATCTGTGTGCTGTGTGTCCAGCAGTCCGGACCCGGTGCTACGGCCGGTGACAGTGTGCCTGCGCTGGTGTCGGCTCCCAAGCCAATCGTGCGAGAGAGAGAGATTTTTAGCCAATCGTGTGCAGCGTGTGTGTGCGTGTGGCCCGTCCTCCATGCTAGTAATCTGCAAGGTGGATGTGTAGTAATCTGCAAGGCGGATTGTGTGGTGTGTAGTAATCTGCAAGGGCCAAGGCAATTGTGACCCGCCGTAGTAATCTGCACGCGAAAGGTATTTCCTCAATAAGAAGGCTGTGAACGGCGGCAAAAACGTCTCCCGAGGATGTCCGCGGTCGACTTCTGGCGGCAGCAAGTCGTCCCGGCGCTGCCGCCCTCGCCCTCGCCGCCGTGCACCGCTCCGGGCCGCGACCGGCACGGCACGGGCAACAGCGGCGACTGCTGTGAGAACTCCTGCCTCGAAGAGCGTGACCCGACCGGTGAGCCACCAGAGCCCCGCGCTGTGCTCCATCTGCTCTCTCTGCGAAGCTGCCGCCGCACGCCGATCCCACCAGCAGGCCGTGACCCGCCACTGCCACCAGTCGGCTCGCTGCCTTAACCACCGCCCGCCGCCGCCACTGCCGCCACTGCCCCTGCCACCCGCCGCTCACTCATCCGCCGCCTTCATCTCGCCCTCTCCGCCGACGCCCAGCACGGCCCTCCGCAGATCCCGTGTATGCCCTCTACTCGCTCGTTGTCGTATGCCGCTCCGCGTGTCTCCCGATGCCGCCTCCGTCGCCGCTCCCACCCGCTCCGCCCGCGCTGCCGCCCGCGCTGCCTGCGCCGCCGTCGCCGCCGCCACCGCCGTCGCCGCCGCTGCCCTGCACAGCGGGCGGGAGTGACGTGTGGGCGACGGGAGAGCGGGTTCCCTGCTGCAAGCCCTGGGTAGAGCAGTTCGTGCCCCGGCCGGGCCACAAAGGCACGAGGCTAGCCGAGAGACTATACAACGCACGCCTGATTGGTGTGTTAGGTCTATACTAACGCTCTCTGCGTATTGAGTCGTATCAGGACCGCTCCGCCTCATGTGCTTCGAGCTCGGACACGCCGGCGCCTTTCTCGACGCCGCCGCCGCCTTCGCCACCACCGCGCCGCTGCCGCCGCTGCCGCCGCTGCCGCCGCTGCCGCCCTCTCCGCCTTCACCGCCAGCGCTCTGGCCACTGCCTCTGCCGCCGCCGCCGGTCCTGCCGCTGCCGCCGCCGCTGGTGCTGCCGCCACCCCCACTGCCGCGGCCGCCGCCGCCATCGCCGTCGCCGTCGCCACCCCCGGCGCCCCCGCCGCACCCGCCCGGCGACAGCGACGTCGAGACGGCGCCGCCGATCAACGCGGGGACGCCGCTGCAGCACGTGTTTGGCGTGAGAGTGGACGTGGGGTACTACGAGACGGTGACGTGGCTGGAGCAGCAGCCGATTGGCATCGCCGCCTCCCTCTTCCTCGCTGCTGCAGCGTGGGTTGTTCACTCCCATCTCGCCGCCCTCATGGCCACACACACACACACACACACACACACACACACACACACACACACACACATTCCTGCTGCAGCCGCCTCTTCCTCGCTGCTGGCAGCGTGCCCCCCCCGGCCTCACCGCGGGCGGCCATATCTAGTCACCCCGGAAGCACAATTAGCCAGCATTGTTAAGCAGGCCCTCCTCCTCGCCGCCGGCTGCTGCTGCTGCGCCGTGCGGCCGCGTAGGCCTCCACATGCCTCGTCGCGACGGGCGCGTAGTGTTAGTAGTAAGTAAGCAACCTTAATTCCAAGGCCGCGCCCCTCTCCACGCCCAAGCGACTAGCGACAGGTGACGTGGCCTCAGTCCACATAGTCAGTCCACATAGGGACTGAGACACAGAGAGTGAAAGCACGGACGGGGCGCCGGCAGGGGCCGCGCAAGGGAGAGGGAGGAGGGAGAGATTGTGAGTGCTGTCTAGGCGCCAAGGTCGGCCGGCCGCCGCCAAAACTCGCGCGAGGAAGCGGCGAGGAGGGAGGAGAGGCGGTGGGAGCGCACGGCGCTGCAGGCGGCGGAGGCGGCGGAAGTGGCGGCGGAGGCGGAGGCGGAGGAGGAGGCGGCGAAGGCGGAGGCGGAGGCGGAGGCGAGGGCGGCGGCGGAGGCGAGGGCGGCAGCGAGGGCGAGGAGAGACGCCGCGCCCGCCGCCGGCGCCGAGCGACGTGGCGCCAGCATCCCGCCGCTGCACGGGCGACGCTTGGGATGGCATTCGGCCCAACGCTCTTGGCGCTGTGCTCCTAGGGCTAGGCGCTGCTCGCCCGTACGCCGTAACCGTCCCGAACTCCGCCTTTGGTTTGGACGCGGTGAGTGAGCGATATGGGAGCGATATGGGGCCGAGGGGAGACCGTGTTCACATCGGGCGGGGGCACGCGGTTTGCGCACACCAGGACTAGGGGGGCAGCACGCGCACACCACTCCATAGGGCCGATTGTTACGCACGCGAGACAGCCGAATCGTTGATTCGACGTCAACTGCGCCCCGCCCCCTCCCTCTCCCCCTGAAACCCGCCCGAGTGTGAGAAACGGCGGGGGGGAAGCTTGTGGCTGCTAAGTGCTATTCCTGCGGCTTGTGTTCACGGCTACAGCTGTGAACAGGCGGACGAGGCCGCCTACTCCTCCAGCGGCTGCTCCTCGGTATGGTCGGAGCGACACGTTCCCGCCTATTCATAGCCGCGCCTGTTGTTTGTTTCTGTGTGTATCCGCGCTCTTGGCGCGATTACGAGATAGGGACTAGTGTGTCGCACTTGGTAGCTTTCGTAAAACATTTCCAAATTCGGAGCACGAGCTGAGGCCAGCTCGCAGCTGCAGCTCGACCGCCGCGCCCCCTTTGGCAGGACGCAATCCGACCCTCAATGCTTCGCGTAACTGTGTGTTTGGGCCTACTTGCGCTGTGCCATGCGTTCACTACCCTTCCGTCGGTCTTCAAGAGCTAAGCGTGGCAGATGTCGCTAACATGCTCATGGAAGATGATGGCATGCTCACTATGAAGACGGCGACGGCACGCGCAGAGCGGATGGATGCAAACGGGGATGGGAGTCGGGATGGATTCATCACCAGCGCCGAATTGGAGGCGGTGATGCCAAAGCCACAGCAAGAGGAGAAGGAGGATCGTTTGTCCCATGGGCCACAAACCGTGGTTTGCCGCCAGCTCCAAGCGGAGGGATCCAAGGACCCGAAGAAGCGGCGCCTCCATCGGCGCCTCTGCGGCGGCGGCAAACTACGGTTTGTGGAATAACCTGTGCTTGGCATGCCAACTTTTTATCGCTGGCTCTAGCGTGCGTCGCCATCCCGTGTGTGCCGTCGCAGGCTGTACCTGTACATCTACATTGCCACCGGGGGCTCATAAGCCACAAGTGGGAGGCTGCATTACTCGTCCGTGCGTACAAAGTCTCTCAAAGAGTGGGTGGGTGGGAGGGAGGGTGCGCGCGCGAGGCTTGCTTGGCATCTTTTAGTCGAGACGCGAATCAGCGGCGGGCCGTGCGAGCCGGCGGGCACCGCCGCGGACGAGGGGATGCAGCGGTGGAAAAATCCGAACGACGTTTCCGCGCTGGCGACTGCTGCGGCTGCGCCGGGAGGGACGGGCGAGAGCCGAGACCGTCCGTGCCTCCGTCAGGCGAGCTTCCGAGATCCAGCCGCGGCCTGAGCGTGACGAGAGGTGAGTTCCGGTGGCGAGAATTCATGTGTTGGAAGTACCGAAAATACAGGACCAGCCTCTAGGTGCCCCTGTCTTGTCACGTGACCGTGTCACAATACCTGTTCTGCGCGGGTCTTGAGAGCGGATGTGGATGAGAGGTTTGAGAGCTCTATTGACTTCCTTGAAATCCGCACTACCACACCTCTTCACGCTGTACCATACACGTCGCCATCAGCTCACACACCACTCTATTGAACACCTCTTGAAAGCCGAAAGCGGCTTCAATGGTGGACAGAATGCGGTCTCGGTCTGTGGCCAGCGAGCACTTTGCGTCCGAAAGCTTGAACCCAATTGCTGGTCTCGAGAGGTTTGCTACGTGGGGCTTGAGGACCGTGATATCGCCCGTCTCCCCACCTAGTGTCAAGAAGCAGAACAGCTCCAGGGCACACCAAAGTCGGCAGCAGTAGTCGGGCCCCGCCAAGACAAGCAGCTTTTTGCAGCCCGAGATATAGACGGGCAAGCCTCGAAGAGACCTCTGGATGTCCCCCTGATTTATGCAGCACTTATCTATCCAAAGCAGCGGCTCGCGCCTGTGTGCCTCTCGGAATTGATTCGCCCACGCCAACAGGGCGGCATACTTGTCGTTTCCGTCGTCTCCCCAGCAGTGGCTTACGAATGCGTCCACCTCGCCCAGCTTTACGCGCTTCGCGGCTGGCTGCTCTTGCTGCGTCGGCGTCGATGACTGGAAGACATCCCGATTCAGCGCGGAGAAGGGCACAGCGGTAAACATCTCCATCGCCGCATCTACCCTGCTGTCCACAGGACAGCAAGGCGATGCCCCAAGTAGAGTGCCCACAGCGGCGAGTCTCCGCGACTCCCCCGAGAGCCCTATTCGTGATATGGCATGCAAGATGCGCCCGCGGTTGCGCTCGGTGAGCAGCAGTGCGCAGAGAGTTCCAGTCAACGACCATGCGAACGCGCCGGGGGATGCCAGATACCATGCGTTGGGTGTGCCATCGCTCGTCAGGGCACAGTCGCCCCACCCGCCCCAGAGGAAGGCGTGGTTGGTCGGCAGCATCAGTTGAGTCGGGAAGCTCACACGCAGCACCAGCCAAAGCCTTAAGAGGGCGCGGCGCGGCGAGGGAGCCATCACCGCCAGCAAGGCGGACGCGGCGAATATAATGTGCCAGGCCACTCGACAAGAGGCGTAGGCGAAGCGGAGCCCCGCGCAGCCCTCGCCCTCCAGCCACAGCTGACGCTCCTCCAGAACGAGTGGCAGAGGGGCGATCGCGTTGAAGGTGAAGTTGGTCGCTAGAAGGAGCCCGACCATGCGCACACCCACCGCATCGAGCGGACGGCAGGCGAGGAGGAACATCAGCTGGTAGACGACGGAGAAGATACCGCCGATGACCATCATTAGCACTGAGGAACCTACGCTTTCCAGTACGCCTGGGCACGTGTATGCCTCCACCCATACAGCTATTACCCAAGCTGACGACATTGTGCCGAGAGTGGTACGCAGCCTCACTTTGTCATCGGCAGTCTGGGCAGTCCTAAGCCGTTCCTTGAGGGACAGCAACTCCTGCGAATTGGTGTTGTGAGCCTCTCGTCTCGTCGCTGCGCGGCGGCTGGCGAGCACACATACCGAAACTCCAACCATAGGCGGTACGAAGGCGCACAATGATATGATCGCCCAGATGAATGCCATGCTCTGCGATCACTGGTGAAACTCACGCCACCGCCACCGTCCAAAGCAAGAAGATTGACTCGGCATCGTCTCAAGTGACTCGTCGGAACTCGTCCAAGGACCGCGCCTATTTTCGCGGATTCGGATTTATTTTTTCTCATTCGTCTGGTATTCTTGGAAGGCGTCGTCTTCCCCCTCGCATTCACAGGCATCGTTGTCGTCCGCGTTGCCCTCCAGCTGCTCGTTGGGCGGGTCGTCGGTCGCGCCTCGCGTCGCCGCTTCGTCACGCCCACCCTCTGCGCTCGCGCCTTCCGAGGACGGCCCCGCTCCACTCGTCGCCTCCGCACTCCGTTTCTGTGCCAGGGCCTTGACCTCTCGTATGATGGATTCCGCGTGGCATCGGTTCGGGCGGCAGACACAGCCAAGGCGAACGTCGAACCCTTGCCTCAACGACGCGGTGGCAGAAGCGGGCGACACGACTGCGGGTCAATGTATGTGTCACTGAGTCAGACAATGTACACGGTGCGGCTGGCCCCTTGCATTCGCCTTGCATTCGTTCCTCGTCAAACCACGGCCGCAGCCCGGCCGCCTTGAGCCCAGCGCAGATTTTCGCAACGCGAGCGTGGTTGTCCCGACCGTCCTCGTCCTTGCCCCAGTCGTGCGAGAGGAAACAGTCATATGCCAGCATGGGCGGAATGGTGCTCAAGTGCTTTTGAGGACAAGAGTCGAGCGGCGTGTCACGGTCTTGTCAGTATTTTCTTTCTCTTCTCTCTTTTTTTGGAACAAAGAAGGGAGAGGCCCGTGCAAGATATAAAGGGTGGCTAAGGGCTCTGCTCGCAAGGCGCCCGCGTCGCAGACGCGGTACCATTGACAACTCTGCAATGTACCCCCACCACACGAACAAATAGCAAAACGAATACCGTGCACAAATGTGGCGATCAGGGACGCAAGCCTTCAGCTGGTGCCAAGACTTGGAGCACTTGGAGTGCAGTTATCAGCCTCACATCCAGGGCCGGGGAGCTAAGAAGCGCACCCAGCGGGCCGGATGATCGGGATCGGGCTACGGGCTAGAGAGCCCTGACCCCTAGCTAGGGGGGGTGCGCATTCGCAGGGAAAGGGCCGTAAAGTAAACACGGTTCTCCGAGGGTTGGTTCTGCGCTTTGGGTGTCCCCTAGCGGCGGAACGCCCCCTCTACTCGGAGCTAGTAAACACCAGACACAAGCATGACGTACACTCTCACCCGACATCGCCACTCAGGGCCCCTCCGCCCGATCTCCCCACCCCCCATCCGAAGGGGCTCCCCTCTCCTCCCGGTCCTCCCTCCTGTTCGCTTTCCGACGGTCATGGCTTCGGATGTGCCGCGCTGGCGCGGGGCCAATGCAAATTGCGAATCTAAGGGAGTCAGTGAGCAGATTATTGCATACCAGTGGCTACACCAATCAGCTCTGGCCAACCGAGCCCATCCGCCGTGATGTCTTGATGCTCTGCACGCACGAGATCCCCCAAAAGACGCTGCACGAGATCTTTCAGCTGCACTTTGCGCCGCTCCGGCACTCTCCCTCCAGACAGGAGAGGGATGCAGAGAGACAACAGCTATCTTTCCAGCTTGTGCAGGTGTCAATCTTCTCTGCTCTTGTCTTCCGCTGCGACAGTGTGCACTCCTTTGACGATGTCATGAATGTTTTGGTACAAGCAAACCTCGACAACGTGCTGTCGTCGCCGCAATTCGGCGGGTATTCAGACTGGTCAACAGAGACCTTCTTCAACTTTGAACTTTGGGGCGAGCTTGGTTCCACAAGAGAGGGGCTCTGTGCCTATGTATGCCCCAGCCCCAGCAGCCCCATTCATGTCCCACACCTCCCCTCCTTCATTGATTGCTGTCCTCTCTTCAGGTGATTGAGCAGCTGCGAGACCTGCGCCTCAGCATTGAACCATCCATTGAACCATCCCAATACCATCTGTACAAGCTTACCAAGGGTGGCAAATGCACTCTGAATCAGCAGGGCCAGAGCAGACAACCAGTTGCAGTGGGAATGCCTCTGCATGGCGAGCATGATCCTCCTCCCAAGCGCAGCAAGTCTCCCGCGGGCATGGGTGGGGGCACCCCTACCCCTACCCCTACCCCTACCCCTACCCCTACCCCTACCCCTACCCCTACCCCTACCCCTACTACCCTACCCTACTACCCTACCCTCCTACCCCTACCCGCCCCCCTACCCCTACCCCCCTACCCCTACCCCCTACCCCTACCCCTAACCCTACCCCTACCCCTACCCCCTACCCCCCTACCCCTAAGTGGTGGTATGTTTATGGCGCATGGGA